AATTACTAACAAGTCAAGTCAGACTCAATTCTCTTAAATAAGATTTTGAGTTTAAATTATACATATTCATTGGTGTTGAAATTAGTATTCATATTAATAATATAATTATTATTATTATTATTATTATTATTATTATTATTTGTGTGTGGAGGGAGAGAGGGGTTAATTAAATTAAATTAATAATTAGATCTAAAATGAAATCCAATCTAATTTAACTTAGATTTTTATTTTCAGTTTCTTTGACTTTTGCTTTTTTTTACAACTTAATTTATTTTAACATTTTGTTTTTATTATTGGAGTTTTCTTGTTGGCTAATAAAATAATGAAACAAGTGAAAAATAATCTTTACCTAAAAAATTAATTTTATAAAATTAAATTAGACTCAATTCTATTTTCTTAAAATGATATTAGATTTTGTTATAACAATTATTGTTATATTTATGGTGCCATGCCTGCCTGTCTGTCTATGACGCTTGAAATCTCTAACAGGTTACAACGGTTGGACTAAATTTCACTTTGTTGATATTCTTGATATTTATGTTGGCAACATCAACATGTGATAAATACAAGACAGAAGCTTGTGGATCTGTTTGCCATTTAACGTGAAATGAGTAAAAACTAAAAAGGCCTCTAAACATGCAGCAAATGAATTCAATCTACGAACATTTCTGTTGATTTATTAAAAAAATGATCCCTTCAGGTAAGAGTAGCCATGGAACCGTTAATTCCGGTACTTGAGACATGATATGTATGTATCATAAGGTGAGCATGATATATATCCAACTCCAAGTGATAAATTGATACATAGATATACTAGAGTGAAGCAACAGATTATTATGATAACATCAAATCTTGTTAAGAGCAGCAAGTGTGAAAACCGTTACAGAAGTGACACCCGGAATGAAAACCTCATCAGGCACTGCTTGTGGCATCACTCTCTGCTTTATCAACAAAGCTGTCAATGGAACACCAAATATGTATAATACTAGTTCCTTTGCTCCTATACCAGTGAATCCTGATTTCTTCACCAAATTCTTCATAATATCTTGGAATTCTGCTTTTGTCAGTGCCTTGTCTTTCTTCTTTCCATGACGCTTCTGCATATATATGCCATACTATTAATTATACACAACCTAAACTGCTACTACTCTATTACTTTATAAACTTCAAAGATATATATATACCTCAAACTCATCCTTAAGATCATCGGCCTCTGGAAGTTTGATCTGCGTGTTTCCGAGCCTTTCATTCAGTTTCCTGACAAGTTGTCACACAAAAAACCGTGTCACTTTATGTATGCTAACTAATTAATTATAAATTAAGCAAAATTTTGATATGAAAATGGTTAAGTACTCGATTATCTCGCATACTAATCGGTAGAATTCAAGGAAGTTTTGGGCGTTTTTGACTTTGCTTTCATAGAATTCCTCTATAATGGGGCCAAGTTCTTTCTGCTTTTTTTCGTCAATTCCTGTCTCAAATTTTCAGAAAAAGAGGAATGATGATTATATAAGTAACAACTCAATTGGTAGTATAATTAATTGTTGCAAGAAACATATACACAACAGAAACATGAGACAAAACAAGAAACAGCAAATTAATGCATGGGAGAAATATGATATAAGTGACGATGAAGAAGAATATGAGAGAGAAAATTAGATGAGGAACCATGTGCAAGCTTCTGCAGAGAAAGGCCAGCGCCCATATTTTTGGTTCTTTGGGTTTGATGAGCCTTGTGGCAATGAGGTTGATGGCAGTGGTATAAATAAACAAAATTGCATGAACTCTGTGCAGAATAAAAAGCTGCAATAAAACTTGCTTGGTGGGCAGAGAACATTGCATCTCTTAGGTTATAAGCAACCTTATTGTATGTATAACCTAGGACGGGAGAGATACAATAGGCAAATTTATTACCCAAGAAATGAATCTTATTATTCATTCAATATTGTTCTTGACTTGTTGCTCTTATCAATATTAACAAATAGATTATGACTTAAGGGCTCAAACCAAAATTTCAATCAGAGACAGCCATATCGAATATTGTTCTTCACAAGTAATATTATCGTTTTTCTTGGGTGTCAAATATAAAGGAAAAACGTTAATTTGTGAAATTAATATTTTAAACTTAATTGATTATAAAAATATTTATCAGTACTTTAATATAAAATGTATATTAGAATTAAAAAAATCAAAATTCCAATATTCATCTAGGAAAGTTGAATTTGACATTTTGTCTATATTTTGACTTAAATTTATTAATAATTGATTTTATATTAATGATACCTTCCTTTTTTAGTATAAACTAAAGATATTATTTGTAGGAAGTAATTTTGCTGATCGAGTCAAATATGGACTACCTTACGGACAATAAAATTATTCCTTTGTTTAAAAGATATCTTTTTTATGTAAACAAATTCATCATTCTCATTTTATTTCGGGATGAATATTTTTGGAGAAGTCATAAATTAAAGAAGAATAAACATTTAGTGAAAATATCTAAGTAGAACAATAGCGTTACCCACTTCGTCTATTTCATTATGGGCCAATAAATTTTTGAACTAAGTTGGGCCAGCTTCTTTAGATGCAAGCTTTAAATTTGGTTCATGATATATACACTTCATTTTTTCTATAAGTACACCTCCTTTAAAAAAAATTAATTTTTTATAATATTTCTAATTTTTTTTAAAATTTTTTAATTTTACATCCACAACATTTAATTTTAATACTTTTTTTTCACACATCATTCCTCTTTTTTTCAATTTTTACATACACCTCCCTTTACCTTTTTTTCACCCCACCTATTTTGATAGCATGTGAAAACTAAAAAAAAAAAAAAAGTGTGTGAAATAAAAAAAAGAAAGTAAAAAATTAAAATTTGGAAGTGTAAAATTTAAAAAATTAAAAAAATTATAATATTTTATAATCTTTTTCAAAAAAAATAAAGGAAGTGTACTTATAAAAAAAAAAGAGGTATATATATCATGAGCCTTAAATTTTTCTAAAGGTTTTGCCTTTTGGAACTCCCCTTTTTAGTTTGTACTACTGTTATACGCGTCTTTTTTGTATTTTTTTTTGGTAACTTTTAAATAATATTTATCCTCTGAAAATTAATTTTCAAAGTATATCCAAGGGGGTTTTTCAAGTTTCAACTCTTATTCCAAGGAATAATATTTCCAAGAATATAACGATGGAAATGATATTGCTAGATATTTTTAAAAAATATATGTTTGGTTAATAATAAAAATATTTTTATGAAAGTGATTGTAAGAAAGTTAAATGAATAAAAAAATTAATAACCACGTCAAAGAAATTAACATGTTCATCTCTTTCATTAAGAATAAAAGTATAAGAATAATGTGGAAGTTATTCCATTATCTAAAATGTTATTTACTTAAGAAAACAACTTATAACCCCGTAATAAACATGAAAAAAAAAACAATCTCTATCAATATATATTTTTCACAGTATTTTAAAATAACTCGAAACAAACCCATTTTAAAATATATTATATGAAAGAAACTAAATCTTAAAATTTAATATATTTTAAAAAACTAAATTGAATTTTTGGTATACAAAAATAACAAATATACATTCTTGGTCCTTCAATTTTTATTTTTACAATTTTAATCTCTTAATTTTATAAAAAAAATTACAATTTTAGTCTTCTTATTAAATATTTATTTTTTAATCGTTAAAATTTTAATATTCAAAAGGGAAAGTTGGCATAATGTTGATATTCTGACAAGTATACCAAATTTGTTATACTATATTTGAATTACAGGTTGTCATATGCATAGAGACTTGTCAAATATTTTTATAATTTTTATTATTCTAATTAAAATTTGTGAAAGAAATATTTACTATTATACATAAGTTTGTTGTTTTTTAATTTAATTTTAAACTCATGCAATATAAAAACACATATATAAAGTTTAAAAAGATAATAATGAAAATGACCGTTGAGATTGAATTTCATCAATCATATTCCTGTGCGCTCCTAAGATTCTCTATACATGACTCTTATCACTTAGTGTTATTGAATTTTTAAAATCATTCTAAATGAATTTTGTCTTTAAAAGTTCTAAGGATCTTAGTTTAATAATTAATTTTTTAGTTCACCAAACTAGATTCTTTGCATTAAACTCAATGAATTTGATCAACTAGCAACTTTAAATTTATTCCTAACATTTAGAATCATTAGGTGATTTGATTCAAATTAGATTTTGAAATTATTTTCAATCAAAATCAAAATCTTGAATCAAAATATGAGTGACCAATTTACCTTAAGCATGAAGTACAAAATTAAATTACTTATAAGTGTATCTAGACTTATTATGTTCAAGAACTCATGTTCTACATCAAATTTCAACTATTAAATAGTTGGATTTAAAGTTCTTAATACATACATCAAGTCTTCAAATTTATAAAAAATTTGAAAATCATTTGATACTTTGTTTCGTTAATTCAAATTGACAAATAATCATAAAATCATTTTATATATTTATTTGAATTAATGAAACAATGTATCAAATAATTTTTAAATTTTTGAGAAATTTGCAGACTTGATCTACAAAAACAAAGTATCATTTTAAGTGAGCAATTCGCTCAACAATTTCAATTTGGCTAAGCGAAATTTAAACTCTTCATGTTGAAGAAAACTCAATTCGTTGAGTTGTTTCCAATTTGTTCAACCCTTTCTAGAAAGCAAGTTTGTTGGTTCTCTTGGCCAAATCTACTTGTCCCTTTTTAATTTGGTTGTGCAAATTTCTTGTGAAATAATCCCTTTACTCTTTGGCTTGAATCAGCTCAGGCTTTTTGATTTGGCTTAGCCAAATTTTGGTAAAGGCCCCCCTCCATTTTTCTCCAATCCTTTAAGCAGAATCCAATTGGCTTAGTGATTTCCACAATTTTGAAGGCCTTGGGATTTGATCAATTATGTAAAGAAATAGGGTTCATTAGTCCATAAAAATCATCAACTCTTTAAAGCTAATTAATTTTCACTATATTTTTGGGGTTAAAATTAAATTTTCCCTTTAAACCTAGTGAAATAAGTGTAATGGAAATTTATTTTCCAATAACCCTTTTGGAAGAGATAAGTCCAAGAAGGATTAAGGTTGATAAAGTTAATTTGGAGAATTGTAGGGCACTTACCCTTACAAATAAGGTACCCTACCTTTAGAGGTCTACCCTACCTTAAAGGATTCCTATTGTTATTATACATTTTCTTAGTTGTAATTCATTTTAGTAGTGATTATATTAGAATATTTTTATTCTTGTATTTTGAGTCAAGTAGTGTATGTAATTTTGTTTCTGTATTATTTGAAGGTGTAATTAGTAGATTAAGGAGACTATAACTAGTTAAGTCTTGTTAGAGTTATTTAGGCTTGGATGACCCAAACTTCTTTTGAACCATTTGGATTGGACGTCCACTTACTTATAAGAAACAAGACTTCATCCTTTGTCTCCTTCACAAGTGATAGAGGATCAAGTACAAATGAAATTGAAAAGAGAAGAAGAAAAAAAAACTTGATTAAAAAAAAAAACAAAAAGGAAAAGAAGCATAAGTCTTCAAAGAAGAAGGAAGAGAAATCTTTAGAAGAAATTCAACAAGAAACTTTAAAACAAACCCTAATTGTTGAAAAGCCTTCTTACCTTCTTCTTTGTAAAAGTGTGCTTCAGTGTCATAATTTAAACATTGAACTTAGTTCTTTACCTCCTCAAGTTTCTCATTTATTAAAAGAATTTGATGATATATTCCCTAGTGAAGGTCCAAAAGGCCTTCCTCCTTTTAGGGGTATAGAACATCAAATTGATTTTGTGCCTGGGGCTAGTCTACCCAATAGACCAGCCTATAGGACAAATCCTCAAGAAACTAAGGAGATCGAGAATCAAGTCCATGAATTATTGAATAAGGGGTGGGTACAAAAGAGTTTGAGTCCCTGTGCTGTGCCTGTATTGTTAGTGCCCAAGAAAGATGGAAAATGGAGAATGTGTTGTGATTGTAGGGCCATTAACAATATCACAATCAAGTACAGGCACCCAATCCCTAGACTTGATGATATGCTTGATGAATTACATGGTGCTTCTATATTTTCTAAAATTGATCTTAAAAGTGGTTATCACCAAATAAGAATTAAAAAGGGTGATGAGTGGAAAACTGCTTTTAAGACCAAATTTGGATTGTATGAGTGGCTAGTTATGCCTTTTGGTTTAACTAATGCACCAAGTACATTCATGAGGCTTATGAATCATGTCTTGAGAGAGTGTATAGGAAAATTTGTTGTTGTTTATTTTGATGATATATTAATCTATAGTAGTTCTCAAGATGATCACTTAGGACATCTTAGAGAAGTTATGATGATCCTTAGGGAAAACCAATTATTTGCAAATCTTGAAAAATGTACTTTTTGTGTGGATCATGTGGTTTTCCTAGGGTTCATTGTAAGCAAAAATGGGGTTCAAGTGGACCCCGAGAAAATCAAAGCCATTCAAGAGTGGCCCAAGCCTAAAAATGTTAGTGAAGTTAGGAGTTTTCATGGATTAGCAAGTTTTTATAGAAGATTTGTGCCTAACTTCTCTAGCATTGCTTCACCCTTGAATGAGCTAGTCAAAAAAGATATTTTATTTGATTGGACTTCAAAGCATGACCAAGCATTTCAATTACTTAAAGATCAACTTACTAATGCACCCATTTTAGCTCTACCAAATTTTGAAAAGACTTTTGAGCTAGAATGTGATGCATCAGGAGTTGGCATAGGAGCTGTGTTATTGCAAGGAGGACACCCCATTGCCTATTTTAGTGAAAAACTAAAAGGTGCCTCCCTCAATTACCCAACCTATGATAAGGAGTTGTATGCATTGGTTAGAGCTTTACAAACTTGGGAACACTATCTTGTGTCCAAAGAGTTTGTCATTCATAGTGACCATGAGTCACTTAAATATTTAAGAGGTCAAGGTAAGTTAAATAAGAGGCATGCCAAATGGTTAGAGTTCCTTGAACAATTTCCATATATCATTAAATTCAAGAAAGGAAAATCAAATGTTGTAGCTGATGCTTTATCTAGGAGACATACTTTGCTTGTGTCTCTAGGTACTCAAATTCTTGGATTTGATAATATTAGGGAGTTGTATGAGGAAGATCTTGAGTTTGGTGATAATTATAAAAAATGTCAACAAAAAGCTTTTGATGGTTTCTATATGGTTGAGGGGTACTTGTATAAAGAAGGAAGGTTATGCATACCCCAAGGATCCATTAGGAAACTATTAATTAAAGAGAGTCATGAAGGTGGGCTTATGGGGCACTTTGGTGTTGAGAAAACCCTTAGTTTGTTAAAAGAAAAATTTTATTGGCCCCATATGCGAAAAGATGTCCAAAGGCATTGTTTTAGATGTTTAGCTTGTTTACAAGCTAAGTCTAAAGTAATGCCTCATGGTACATACACACCTTTGCCTGTTGCTTCTTCTCCTTGGGTAGATATTAGCATGGATTTTGTGCTAGGTTTACCTAGAACCCAAAGGGGAATGGATTCTATCTTTGTGGTAGTGGACCGTTTCAGTAAAATGGCTCATTTTATTCCATGCCACAAAGTAGATGATGCAAGCAACATTGCAAAACTCTTCTTTAGAGATGTGGTTAAACTTCATGGGCTTCCTAGGACTATAGTTTCAGATAGAGATACAAAGTTCCTAAGCCACTTTTGGCGTGTCTTATGGTCAAGACTAGGAACCAAACTCCTCTTTTCAACTACTTGTCATCCTCAAACAGATGGCCAAACTGAGGTAGTGAATAGATCTCTGTCTACTATGCTTAGGGCAGTCCTAAAGGGTAATCACAAATCTTGGGATGAGTTTTTGCCTCACATTGAATTTGCCTACAATAGGGTAGTTCACAAAACTACCAATATTTCTCCTTTTGAGGCTGTGTATGGGTTTAATCCTTTAACTCCTTTGGACTTGATACCTCTTCCTAATGTTGAACATTTCATTCATAAGGAAGGGGCTTCAAGGGCTGATTTTGTCAAGAAACTTCATGAAAGGATTAAAACTCATATTCAAAATCAAAATGAGAAATATGCAAAACAAGGAAGTAAAGGCAAGAAGTCTATGATCTTCGAGGAAGGTGATTGGGTTTGGCTTCACTTAAGAAAAGAACGTTTTCCAAATCAAAGGAAGTCCAAACTCAGTCCTAGAGGAGATGGTCCCTTTCAGGTCTTACAGCGTATCAATGATAACGCTTATAGACTTGATTTACCCTCTGATTATGGAGTCAGCACCACTTTTAATGTTAGTGATCTTAAACCTTTTGTAGGTGCTAGTGATGATGAGGAAGAGTCTTCAGATTCGAGGACGAATCCTTCTCAAGAGGGAGGGAATGATGGAAGAGCATGGGCTAAAGGCCCAACCACTAGAGCAATGGCCAGGAGGTTACTTGAAGATTTGACTGCTTCAGAGCTTAGTGGGCCCAATGGGCTTGGTGGGCCTAGGGTGCTTCTCACTTGGGTTTTAATTGATTGAACACCATGTTTAATTGTATTTTCTTAGTATAGGAATTTACTTTGTTGTTGGTCTTGTATTTTGACCATAGATTAGGGTTTAGGTGTCTTGGGCTTAATTTTGGGCTTCTTGAGCTTTGGGCTTTTGATACCCAATATTGGGCTCATTCTTCTTCTTATATTTTTTCCTATTCATTGTATTCATTAGACCAATGTATTTCGGTCATTAGATTAGGGTTATATGAAGAATACATTAATAGGAAAATTAGGCTTCATTTATGCATCATTTAGAAGTAATTTGAGTTGAATTTGAGTCACATGGATGGCATGGAGTGGTTCCGGCCATGTGAGCTTCAAATGCAACCCAAATCACTTCTAAATGACTCCTAAATGAGGGTAGCATCTGAATTAATCACGTTGGAAGCCAAAGTTTGAATTTCATATTTAAATTTGAAATTCAAACTAGGCGCCAATTTGGTTGGTTTGAAATTGCCACCCAAAGTTAACCTAATTCTTCCTATAAGTGTATCTTTTCCCACCTATTGTAAACACTTTTGAATATATGAGAATTTCTGAACAATTACTTCAGCTAATTCCCTCAAGAGTCACCGAAAATTCCAAGAGAGAAAACCTAAGAGAATGCCTTCAAAAACCTTAGGAAAACCTAGTTCTCCTTCCCTTTGAAGTGTGCAATCCTTTGAGTTCATGAGCTTGGATGCTTCCTTCTTTCATTTCCGCAGATTGTTCTTCATCTTCACGAGTCTTCAAGTGTGTGTCTATCTCCATTGAAGAAGATCCGAGCCTAGGAGGAGTTTAGGAAGAGTTTGAGCTTGACTCCTACTACTCATCTCCATCACAAGTGGTTTGGACATCCAAACCAAACCAAGTTTATCGTCCAAGTTTCTAATTAAGTCACATGGCTTTGATAATAACATCTCAATAACTTGTTAAAAATAATCATTAGTTTAGTAGTTATAATGATTAGGATAGCTAATTGGAGTTAACTTAAACTAACTTAAGTTATTCTTAAACTAAGATTAACTTAATTTACTCAATAAGCTTCTAGACAATTAACTAAACTTCTAGAAATTTAATTAGAGTTGGTTAGCTTAAGTATAAGATAGTTAACCATGGTAGTCTAGCTAAACTCTATATATTGTAGACTCATTTTGTACTAGTTTTGAGTATTATTGAAATTTGATGAAACTTTCTCTCTAATTCTCTCTCAAAGTTTGTTTCGCTCTTTGAAATTCTTCCATTTATCTTATTCTCTCAAGTGTAGTAAGAAATTGAAGAAACTTATCACCCTTCAAGAGTGTGACGTCACCTAAGGAAGACTCTACCTTCTCTTATGTGTTAGAAATGAATTCTAACATTAATGGAAGTCACTAAAGGAGTTTGAAGGAGTTCAAGAAGTGAAAAACTCATCCAAGAAGTTTGAAGGAGAAACTACATTAATCTAATCTCTCCTAAGATTTCCATCAAAGTGTTAAGAAGATTATATTCTTTAAGCAAAATTGACACTTATCATGTAACATCCTTTTTAAAGAAAAATAAAATAAAATGATAATTAAGTAATTAAAATATTTTTTGAGGACAAATTATTTAAAATATTTTTTAGAAATATTAATTGTGGTATCTGGGTTTTTAATGGAATATTAATTTTTAAAAAAAGTAAATAGACTTTTGAAAAAAAAGTGTTTTAAGTTATTGGGCTTTAATCTTTATGTGTCCAATAAACTTTGGTTAACCTAGAGAAATTTTATTAGGTTTGACCTAATACTTTTATCTTTTATATATTTACCTCTTAGAACACTCTCTTGCCAACAAGACCATGTGTGGATAGACTCAAAGTTAGAGGAGAAGCATATCACACCGTTGCAACCGTGCATTTGTAAGAGCATTTCCTAGGTAAGGAAAAAGTGAAATTATCTTATTCATAGATATAAAATAATTGTAGATAATGGAGTTATCACTCATCATCATAGGTTTTATGATGTATGATTTTGTAGGGTGATGAATATCTAGAAAAGATGTTAGTTAGTTATATGTGTTACTAGTTGAGTTTTTATACTAATTATTATTTTTTAATTCAATTATAAGACTACTTGTTGATTTGTTTGAATTGAATTGGTATTTTAGGGTTCTTGATGTTGGGTTTGGAACTCTCATATTTGGAATTGGGGATACTAAGGATTTGTGATTTTTGTTTAGTAATTGTTTATGGGAGAAATATGTTGATTCATGATGAAATTTGTGTTTAGAGTCATCTACATTGATTTGGCGAGTTTTAGTATACTTAAAAATGATTTGGAGAAGTTTGAAATCCCAAATCGCAGATGAGGTATGTCATGACTCACTTAAACAACTTTAAGAATTAAGACTCACTTAAGAAACTTTAGGACTAGAAATCTTGGGTAATTCCTTTCAAAGTCAAAAGTGATATTCATTGTTTTTCTCTAATTTTACTTTTCATGTGTTTTCCCCAACCTATAATTTGATATTTGTTTTTTTTTCTATTGAAATATAATTATCGGTAACTTTACCTTATTCATTTTTAACAAATTTGAGCTCTTTGTTTTTCATATTTAAGTATAAAAATTCATATTTAATTCTATAAAATTAATTATAAGAAAAATTAATAAAATTAATCTATTCATATTTAATTAATATTAAATTCACACTTATTTCTAATTAATTAAAAAAAACAACATTCTATAATTATATATCAATCTATTTATGTAAAAAAAAAATCAACTAATAATTTAATTATATGCCACCCCTATTTATATATCACTTTTAAAGTTTGAGATAATATTAATTACTCTTTTATTAATTATATTCTTATTACTAACTATTTTTTTAATATCTTTTACACAATTATCAAATATAATAAAAATTAATATGTATCTATTGTAAAGAAAAAATAAAAAAGAATAAAATGAGAAACTTCATAATTATTTTATTGGGATCGAAATAATTTATTATATTTTTTGGTTTGTACATAAAAATCCTAAAAGACAAATGACAAAAGGAATTAGGGTATTATTTAACTTAAAACAATTATTTAATATTGTAATTAAATTATATTTTTAAAATTCTCTTAAATGAATCTCAAT